GGCAAGAAGTATCCCTGCTTTGGTGAGTTCAAATGCCCTTGTTGCCATAGAAAGTGGCAAAGCAGCAAGGCCTGTGCTGACTACGGACAACAGTGCAAATCTTGTTCAATCACTGTGACTCCATTCAGTCTTCAAAAGCTCTGTGTGTATATTTGCGGCAATTGCAGAGCAAAATGGACTTGGGCTTATGCTGCTCAAGGATTACAGCGCAGTAAATGTTCTTCATCCAAACTCGTTCGTCCGCTGGATAGCAGAAACTACCAAGATCGTGAATTTATTCGGGCTCACCGATTAGAAGATTTAACCAATATAGACGACGAAAATCACATTGATCGAAACAAAGAACATCGACGAGATTTATGTGAAAAGTGTTTGAAGTTAAGGCGACCGTGTAGTGAGACAGCAGGTCAGGAATACGTACCTAGAACAGACTTAGATTACAAATTAAGCTTTTCTTCATCGATATCATCTCGAAATATTGCCCGATCTACCTCATCTGAAGCTTCAACTGCACTTTCCTCCCGTGATCATCCACCAAACTCATTCGATGGCTTTGCTATGCTGTTAATTATCATTTTTATCTTCATATTTCTGTATTTCTTCAAAGCATAATGCGTTTATATCTTCATTTAGTTGGATAATAGAGTTATTCTTAGAGCAAATTCATTACAGAAATAACAATTTTTCTCTCGGGTCACTTGAAGTAATGAAATTTTCAGGAGAACCTTCTAGGATATTTTGGTTTAAGTGAAGATAAGGATGCATGTTTCTGAAAACTCCTCTTCACTAGCTCCACACTAGTGAACTGCGTCGAACTCCCAAAGCCGTTTCCGACTCCGAAATATGATTAAGACTTCTACTAAGTAGAAAGTCGTGAATCTGACGGTCGGGGAGAGGATAGGGGGACTTTTGATGTGCCATCTGCCCCCTCCTGATGATCACTTTTTGTGAAAAACCAGCAAATTTGCAAAACAATTTATGGAGCGTTTTTCTTCAATTGCAATGGTTTATAAGGGTGGTACTTTTTTCTTTCTTCAGGATATCAAGCATTGATATGAATTACATGTCGATAAACTGCACAAAGAAGTTTCAGAATTTTTCAGAATCAGGTGTGGGTGAGTGTGGACAGGGGCCGCGCTAAGGACCTACGGTTGGGGGGGGGGAGTGGCGAGTTTTTGGGGTGGGGTGTAAAGGGAGTATTTGCAACTAAATGTCTCAAAAAAGAGTAAAACGTACAGAAAATCTACTGTTGTCGCTGAAAAAAGTTGAAAATTTTCAATTATTTGGGAGTGTACACCCGCCTACACTCTCAAGAAAAGAATGATCAATTACCAAAATATTTTATTTTCTGGATGCAAACAAAACTCAGATTTCATCATGCTTATTCAACTGTTATAACCTATGCAAGCGACTCAACAACAACAACGACTCAGTATGTTTCTTTTCCATCAGCTTGGAAGAGTATCATTCAAAAGCGCAATTTTCATTACGCATGTCTTGTTCAATGTTATATCAGTTTTGACTTTGACAGATACGAAAAATCGAAACAATGTTTGATTTTATTTTTAAGTATTTTTTAAAAGAACAAATGCTGAATTTTTTTGTCGTCACATTTTGATGTCGTTTTGAGAGAAAAAATAAATACTACATACAATCTGTGTGACCACTTGTGGTGTTTTAATAAATAGACGAGGCTAGATTTGCATTATAAAACCATACATTCATACATCTTACCATTAAACAATTTCAGATAATTATTTTTTCATCAGAATTCGTTTAATCGCGTGTAAAATGACCATTTACAATGTTGTTCTCTTGAAGATAAAGTTGAAGAAACGAACGAATTTTCTAGTTCATTCTTGCATAGAAGTTTTACTCATCAATCAGATATAACTCATCAATAACATGCTTCCTTACGCTTCTTTAGCTTAGACTCAAGTGAATCTAATGAATACAACAGTAACAACTAAGCAAGCATATTATTGTTCAGCAATCTCATCCTATACACGCTGATAATTCTATTCTACTAGCGGAATAACGATGAACATTGATCCGACAAATTGTAGTTTTCATTCAACTCCATACTATTTCACTAGTGTGACTGATTCTAGCTCTCATTGATCGTTAGCTGGTTATACTGCTCTTTATTTTTCAATAAATATTTCATTTACAATTTATGCTCGTTCATTGATTACTTGAAGTAATATAGCCATGCTTAGTAGTTCTCAAACCAGCAAATGAAATGTAAATTGGTTTGATGTTCCTTATTAAAAGTAATTGCATATACTATTTACTGTACCTAACAGAGTTTCGAAGTTTAATAAAATAGTGGGAAGATCTAAATATTACATACACACTATTGATGAAACACTTCCAGTTTTAAAACCGGCACTAAAAATTTTGTTTTTCTTATCCATGAGTGTTGGTTAGAACAGGCTTCCCGTTTCATGTGGTTGAAAATGTACTGAAGAACAAAAACTAAAGCTAGGATTGTTTTATAATACATGATTAACCAGATTTTACATTCTGTACTTTTTGAAAAAAAAACAAAGATAGTATGAAAGAAAAACTCTGATCTCCTCTCCGATTCGAAAGTGAACAAAAATCAGAAAGACATAACGAATTTCCAAATACTAACTCTAGTCGATCAACGATTTTTTTTTATGTTTGAAACGACAATATTTTGACTTACAGTATATCGGAAACGTGAAAACAATTCATACTATGATGTATAGTGAAATTAAGAATAATTTTCCTGACCTTTGCGAATGTTCAACACAATCGATCGATCGATTCAAATTATTGAAAAGCTTTTATACTTCTCCCCGATACAACATATTAGTTTCTCGAATTTTCTTCAAGTCTCGTATTGCAAAGAGAATCATAACTTTTGCTGAAAACAAAAGTTCAATCATAATTTCTCATTGAATATTTCAAAAGTAAAACAATGTTCGCAACTCGTAAAACGTCTGCCACATAAGACTTTCATGATGATAATTTCAAAGCAGCTTGAATCATTTTTCTAGATGATAATCGTAATCATTGTGTAGAAAACTGAATATTTCAATCAACTCTCTCTATTTACAGTGAGTACGCATGAAAAAATTCTTGTTTTAGCTTATTTCACCATGTTTATATAGTTAAAATTAAGATTGAAATATGAAGCAATAATTATTGACTAGGGATATGAAACAATAGTAGACAGAAAAAGAAAGTTATTAATTAACGTAAACCATCATCGTCATCGTCTAATTGTATTGGTTTAATGCCACTGGTTGATGAAGTCATAGGATTAGTCGTTTGTTGTTGATTTATATTATTTGTTGTAGGACGAATCCGTCATTTAATTAAACGAACACGTTCAGATTCGGTAGCCATAAAATAAGGTTTCTATTTGAAAAAAAAACGGTATAAATTTATAATTAATAAAAACCGAGTTACTTGACAACGTTGAGTAATTCTATCTTCATTTCCTTCTGCATATAATTGTTCTGCTCGATCTTGTAATTATTGTGTCATTTGTGCTGTTTGTTCATAAGATTTAGCCGAAAGAAATGATATCCCCAAAAATTGATAATCATTATATTGATTTCTGATGAAATTCTTAGAGTATAGGAAATATAGTTACTATATTTTTCTTATATTTGATCACTTTTTATAGTATGATGTATAAATTTGACTACACCAAATACCATCTAAACTATTCAAAATCGTTGCATCATGCTGTAAGACAAGTTCATGAATTTTTTTGAATAGAGAAGAGTATTTAAAAAAGTTAAAAAATCGATGCAATAGTGTGATGAATCGGAACGAGTATTTCGAACATTTGACGAAATAAATACTATTTCTGTATTTCGTTTTAGTTCTATCATCACTAATTTTTTTTACTGATGAAATGTTACTTTAGACGGAAAGAAATTAATAACACTATCCAAGATTTCTGATAAAACGAAAGCTCTTCTAAGTCAATGAATTCAGTAGTCAGAAAAACGGTTTCGTTTAGTGGATGTGGATTTAGCCAATGAACTAGTCTACTCTGACATCCAAGTGCAAATCGCGTTAATATTTAGCGATAGATGAGGATATGAGTATGTACTGGATGTGGATGTGAGTCAACTCTTGTATAACAGACACAATCAGATCCCATCCACATTCACACTCCTAAAAAAACCTACGAGATCAAAACGTGAAACACTATTGAACTGCTGTTAATAATAAAAGGAGATGTTCAACAAATCTATTGAAATCAATACTGTATGTAATCAATACTTTGTTCGATTGAACACGCGAAATGATATGAATTCTGTTCTATAGCCTTGGAATTTACCTATAAATTGATAACTTTCTCTTTTAGTAATTCTTAGAAATATTCAGTAGAATTTGATTTTTGAGGGTATCCCCATTACGGTATATATATGGGAAAGGAGTAGGAAAAGAGGATGCAAACTTCTTGATCTACATTTATGGTTGTTCGTCTTTGAATGTATGGGAAACTGCATTTAACTCACAACGTCTGCCTACAACTTATATCTGTCTTAATTGACGTTCATTCATCATTAAAGTATGGTTTTATGCTTTTTATTTTGGTTCGAGATGGGAGATACCATTTCGAGGCCAATACATGTCACAGTCGACAAATCAATGCTTGATTTATTATTTGTGTAATCATTCTCTTTACGGAGAATTTTAATGATGACACCGGTGAAAGTAAAATCCTCTGATTAAATCTGTAGTATTAAGTTGCATTCGTTGTTAATATAGTCTTCGTCGTCGTTTGATCTATTGAGGTCAATGCCGATAGATTGAATTGCATCGAACGGTTTTNTCAAATTAAGAAAGTTCTCGTACTTGGAAGAGCCGGTATTGGAAAATCTACGTTTTGTCAATATGTGACTTATCGATGGGCAAAAGGTGAACTTTGGCCCGAATTTAAGTTAGTGGTTTTGATTCAATTACGCAAGTTAACAAACAGTCGATATTCATCATCGAAAAAATATTCTATGATTGATATTGTCGAGAGAGAATATTTTGCATGTGAGGATTTAACTAAAGACGACAGACAATTCTTTAAAGAACGATGCTGCCAAGGTCAAGTGCTATGGATATTGGATGGATATGATGAATTTGTCCAAAATATTCCCGAACAACTTAAAGATGTATTTGAGTACATATACCAGACACAAAATCACATTTTAACATCTCGTCCTTACGCTATTACATTAGCCTATGACGTCAAAATGGAAATCACTGGATTCACTGATGATAATATTGAACGATATGCTAAGCAATTCTTTGATCATATTAAGAACAAAATGAAAAATGCTTTGCCGGAAGGAGAAAAACTTTTAATATTCTTGAAATCGAATCCTAGTATTTGGGGTATCGCGCATATTCCCGTAAATTTGGAATTGGTTTGTACACTTTGGGGTGATACAGACTGGTCAGAAGCAAAAACATTAACAATGACGGAACTTTATGATAATATTACGGAAATTCTATGTCGACATTACTTAGGAAAACAGAATGTCAATCACCGGTTAATGTCGAAAAAAGAAGTTTATACACGATGCCATAAAGAGTTACAATTCTTAGAATGTTTGGCTTTCAACGCTATGGAAACCAATGATATTATTCTTTCACCCACTTTGATTCAAAAAACACTAAGAGAGATCGATTGTTCTTTAGCTAACCATTCACAACTACTAAATATTGGCATCCTTAGATCCTATGATCATAAGCCTACTGGTAATCAACATGAAATAGACAAGCAACATTATTTTGTTCATCTTAGCTTTCAAGAACACTTTGCAGCGCGGTATTTGCTTAGCATTCTAATGACTTCACAGAATCAAAAAGCAATCGATTTCATCAATCAGCACAAATACAATCAACGGTTTATTTTAGTATTCATTTTTGCATCAGGTCTTCTTGCACAAGCCGATTATCAATCATGCATGAACCTATTTTGGTCTAGTATCGAGGCCAAACCTTTAGATATTGTCGGTTTCAAACACATAAAGCTTATCATCGAGTGTATTGATCAACTTGGTGAACACGAACTTTTTGTACAACGCACAGCCTATATTAAATCAATCTGTCTATGGATAGATATATGTATCCGTAGTAGGTCATATACCATAAACGAAAATCTTCTTGCATCATTTAAACGTACAATTTCGTTAGCAAATGATCCGCTAATACAAAACAAACTCATTGAATTAATAGATGCTGCATGCAGGCTTGATAGTTTTTGTCTATCATTTGGAGGATATAAAGAAATCCGTCGTGGAGACGATCCATTAATACGGAATGAGCTCCATAAATTAATAGGTACTGGAGACCACTTGATTGGTAAGAGCATATGGAACTTCATAACAGAATTAAACATATCAAAACCTTTACCTGGACTATTTTCTCGAATGTTCGCACAATTTAAGTACGACGATACATTTTGGACTTCAACGTATACAATTTTCAAGAAGCTTTGTGCTATTGATGAAACAGCATTGACAGATGAACTAATGGAGATTCTTACAAGTGCACTGTACGACAAAAAACACATTGCAGGATGTAATGCATGGGACTTACTTAATAATCTAGGTGAAAAAGCAGCTACACCAAAAATGCTAGCTTGCCTAATAAATATACGGCAAGATGCATCGATGGACATTCCAAGCGAAGCATGTAGAGCTCTCGGAGCGATGGGTGAAAAGGCAGCCATACAAGAAGTAATCGAAGCTATTATACTATCGCTTCAGAGTGGAGATCCATGGGTCAGAGGGAGTGCGTGTTGGGCTCTCGGAAACATATGTAAAAAAGCTGTAACACCAGGAGTCATCGCTGGTTTAGTAAATGCGCTTGGTGACGAAAACGCCGATGTTAGACAAAATGCACTTGAAGCTCTTGCAAAAATGGGTGAAAAGGCTCCGCAAAATAAAATAATCTCTAGACTTATAGATATCCACAATGGTCGAAAATTGAATAAAAAAAGACATGCAAGCGAAACTCTAAGCAATATGGATACAAAAGTAGTTATGGCTAAGTTTATCGCCGAGCTTAGGGAAACACTGGGCGATGAAGATTCTAATATTGTATGCGAGGCGTATGAAACTCTAATAAACATGGGTAAAACCATAGCAAAGAAGGAGGTTATTGACGTTATTACAGATGCGTTATGTGATGAAAACGTTAAAATCAGAACCCAGGCATGTTTTATACTGACAGATATTGGTGAAAAAGTGTTCAGAAAAGAATTGATCATTGGCCTTATGGACGCACTATCTAATCAAGACTATAAAATCAGAGAGAAGGCTTACAAATGTTTTGAGCAAATAGCTAATGAAGTAGCAACCGATGAAGTGATTGATATTCTTGTAAAAGCACTTTATGACAAAAACTATGAAGCTAGATTTAATGCATGTGTTGTTATTAGCGAGTTTGGTAAAAACGCAGGAACAAATGAAGTGCTCACTGGTCTAGTCAAGGTACTGCAAGATGACTATTTAAGTGTTGTTCGGGCAGCATGTAAGGCTCTGGAAAATATAGGTGAAAAGGGCGCAACAGATGAAGTCGTTAATGGCTTGATAAAGGAACTTCTTAATGACTATTGGGATGAACGAGAATCAGCATGTCATGCCTTGATAAAGATGGTTGAAAAATCAGCTACAAACGAGGTAATCATTGGTCTTGCACAGGCACTGCGCGATATAAAACCCGAGGTGAGAATATTGGCATGTGAAGCGCTGGGGAAGATTGGTGAAAAAGCAGCACGACATGAGACGATCGCTGCTCTCATCGATGCGCTTCATGATAAAGAATCAAAAGTGAGAGCATTAGCTTGTAATGTTCTAGAGAAGATGAATGGGAAAGCAGCAACACACGAAGCTATAATTGGTCTCATGGACGCACTTCAAGATAAAGAACAAGATGTTAGAGTATGTGCCTGTAAAGCCCTTGGAGGCATGGGTGAGAAAGTAGCAACAACTGAGGTTATCACTGCCCTTATGACTGCAATGGACGATCGCTCAAGTTATGTTCTATCTGCTGCTGCTGCCAAAGCTCTCGCTAATATGGGTGAGAAAACAGCAACACGCGAGGTAACCACTTGCCTCATAAATGCACTAAAAGGATCTCGCCCTGTCTTTCTCGCTGTGTTCGACAAAATCATGCATTCACCAAATGCAGTTCAAGAGTTAGATTCGAATACATTATCAACACTATATTCGTATATGAAGGATTATTCTGAAATCAACTTAACGGGAATTCCATTCGATCGATTTATCAAAGTATTTTTAGAAACGAGAAATAATGCTTGGCTTCCATTAATTGTATATGCTGCGCTATTAAAAGTTACCGCTATAACAATAATCCATGATAAGATGATAATCTACGATGATAATGGATTCATAGAACTACACGTGTCCTCTCCTGATTTAATGACAGCTATGGTAAAAGCCTTTAAAGAGCAAAAAAATGAGACGAATGATGAGCCTTCAACAGATGTACTTGATACGCAGCAACATACAAAAGAATCATCAACTATCTGTGAAATAATGTAATCATGCTATCAAATTCGTTCATGTAGATAATCGGGGTGTCGGTGTGGATGTGGGTGGATATGGGTGTGGGGTGTGGGTGTAATACAGATCAACATACACACCCACGCACACCACACGCTCGCCCACACCTACACCTCATCATAACTACACATTCACCAGATGCTTTTTTTAATATATGTATATCAAAAATAAATTCTTTTTTTTTCATTCTTATTCATTTTAAGAACACCGACTAGCGATAAAAATAATATCAGAGATAGACGAAAGAAAAAGAATAAATATCATTCGTAAATGACGCTAGATTTTTTTCGTCGAGGTCATCCATTCATTCAATTCAATCATAGCGGTTGGCATTAACAAACAATGAGTATATTGGGAGTGGCCAGTTATTGTGATACCCCATTTTTATACACTCCTATTGGAAGGATAAAACATACTATTGTTCGGGTCATATAAGAGAGGGTCCTAGATAACCCTGGATTGGGCCGGACAACATCATGTGTTATCCGTANACAATAGTAGAGAAAAGCTACCAACTCACACGATAAGCTAGTAGCTTTTCTCTACTATTGTACGGATAAAACATGATGTTGTTCGGGCCAATCCAGGGTTATCTAGGATTCCCTCTTATATGACCCGAACAATAGTATGTTTTATCCATCCAATAGGAGTGTATCAAAATGGCGTATCATATTAACTGGCCACTCCCATATATATGCATAATAAGAAAAGTATTAGTTAAACTCAACATAAATCAATCTAACATTGGCCTTCTTAATTTATCTAATAAAATGTTACTTATCATTTTAAAAAAGCTCGACAACATGGATGCTCTTTATTCATTGTTGGATGTTGGCAATGAACGACTTGACATTATAGTACAACAAAATATTTCCACTAATACTCTTAGTTTTGTATTAACAACATTCACTAATGATATTTCTTCGATTAGTGATACAATAATTGATCGATTTTGCAGGGTGTGGGTGTGGGTTATTCTCCTTCAATCATCCACACCCAGCTAGGGGGATAGACTAAGGTTAAGGGATCAAGCTAGCGGATATATTATGGTTAAGGGATCAAGCTAGGGGGATAGATTATGGTTAAGGGGTTAACTTAGAACGGTAGATATGTATTAAACGGATATGTAAATAAGATAGATATCGATTGTATGCATCTGCCAGAGACTACACATGAGGCGCTGCATAAAACAGAATAAAGGGATAGCGAAAGGGATCAGTTTATTAGTACCAATTCTGCAAGCGCTGATCGACTGCATTCGAATCGTGACAGAATTTGAACTACGAAACCATTTTTAGTGTAAGTTAAAGACGTTTTGGTACGGAACCATATTTTTACGAAACTCAAAAAAGGTTTCGATTTCGTTGCAAATCTCTGAACCTTTTTTTAAGTTCCGTATGGTACCTTTTTTTTCAGTGCAGTAGGCTTTTATTTTGGGGAGAAGCTTATTATGAAATTTACAAATTAGCATTAATCCATTGTATACGTTTCAATTTGTGATCCGACTTGCTTTCCTGAGAGCAATAGCATATAGTATACCGATTCTCAACTAAGAGCATTCATGAATCAATTTTAAAATCGGTTTTATGAAAATCTTTGACACATGAATATGGGCCTGAGTTCTGAAATGAAACACTTTCAAACATGTAGTCAATCAAGTAGATGTTGAATTTAGGAATTTATGTGGAGATATTTGAATTTTGTTGGGGTGTGGTGGGTGTCGGTGTGTGATGTGGGTGTGGGTGTGTGGGTGTGTGATGTGGGTGTGGGTGTGTGGGTGTGTGATGTGGGTGTGGATGTGGATGTGGATGTGGATGTGGATGTGGTGGTGGACGTAAAGAGAAAAGAAACACACCCACCACCACCCCAATCCCCACACCCACATCCACACGCCGATATGGCATTTTTTTCTTCGACGTTTGTTCTGTTCTCTCAGAAGGCACCGAACTGTATTCTATTCCTGAGATAATTCGGTCGATAACGAAATTTAACGTTCGACTACTTCAATCTCAGTTATTTTATTTTTCATTCTTGTCTTATCGTTTCTATACACTGGCACGCAAGAATCTTTGTCTATCAGTCTCTTTAATCATTGTGACTAATCGAAATACGTAAAAGCTGAATAATACAACAAATTATTACGTTTATATAATACGAACACACAAAAAAAGAATAATCGCTATTTTTTTTATTGCAGATTAATAAACAATGAAATTACTTCTCGAATTATCAGTAATTATTATTTTCTTGTTTTCAATAACATCGTAAGTCGACACAAATTAACTATATTCTTTCATTGAGAACTATTGATCTCTTACAGAGGTTTTCTGTCAACTTCATGCAAAAAATGGTCTAAAAAATGTCAATCAAGCACTGTTTGTTGTCCAATCAAAGGTCATCGTGTAGTATGTGCTCCTCATAAAAAAATATGTGGCACAAAAACATGTTGTATAACTGAAGTTGAAGAACAACAGGAAAAACAAGCATCTATTTTTCGAAATCGTCGTCCTAAATCAAAATGAATTCTAGCAAGTATTGTTCGATTAAGAAGAAAAATAATGATGTGAGATGAATCTTTTGATTTATTTGTAATTAAATTTTAATCATTTTCAATAATGTAAAGAAATGCGTCTTGTTTTTTCAATAAACTGTGAAGAGATATTTAATATTTTATGCTCATTACATTAAAAGATAATAGTTGAATTTCGTATTTATTTCCATGGATATTCTGGTAGCTCATTTAAGGATATGTCGATCTATTCACAGTATGATAACAAATGATTTTTAAGAGAATAAATTTGTTGTTCATCTCTTTTCATATCATGTTTCTTTGAAAAACATAAGAGCGACTGTTTATATTTTTGTCAAAATTTTCTAGAAAATGCGAATCATTTGTAAGAAACATAGTATATATAAAAAAGTACATTACGAAAGTTCTTCTCAAACGAAAAACTCACTTTTGAATTAGGCATGAATTTCAAATGAAATGACTTGTAAAAAGTTATACGGCATTGAATGATGTTTCAAAAATGAAGATCAAAATATTTTTTATTTATTTCTATAATAACATGCATTATGAACATCGCTTTAATAAGTTATAAGCTTGAATAAAATGAATTGAATAGGACACTCTTAAAACAATCATTTTTACATTTAATCTTCTAAGAGTTGATAATCTACTATGAGTTACTAGATACATATGAATACAAAAAAACAATCGTTCGATGCATTATTAATTCTAAATGAACTAGTTAGTATCAACAGTTGTAGAATAAATTTCGATTACATGAACAATAATTACTAGTACTATATTGAAGTAGAATGAAAATGTTTTTTTTTAATATATTACTACAATAAATAAATATGTTTTTTTGTTGCTTAATAGAAAAATAAACATAATTAAAACGATCGATAAATATTGTTGTTTGTAATTCAAAAATAGTATGAACTATATTTACCTAATGTTAACATAGATTGAGTAAATTGAGCTATAGCATAATGCATAGCCTGAAAAGCAATAAAGATTGAATCTGCTTCAGTATTATTAACATAGGGTACAAATGTTGGATATAATTCACATTGACTTATACGAATAAGATAATACTACAGGAGTCCATTACGTTTTTCTTGATATTTAAGTTTTAGACGACGAATTGCTTGATATAAATTAATTAGACACTGCTCATGCTTGTTAAGAGCAGTTTTAGTTAATTTTGTTTGTGAAAAAATACATTGACGAAATAATTGATAGAATTTCGTTTGAGATAATGTAAAATATGATATCCATATATGAAAACAATTAATCAATTGTTTATTTAAATCCGCATGTTCTCTGTGAATATTTGAAACAAAATTTTCACCAGCAACATTTTATTGAAAATCTTCATTCATTTTTGAAAATTCATTGATTCATATTAACTAAATAAAACAATAGAGAAATAGGAAGTGAAAAGAAATTGCCGTGAAATTAATTGTCATGGAATCAAATAAATCATTATTTTTAAATCAAGTTTTTTACTCCTTTATGTATACTATATAGCATTCTATATGTATCAATTAATTGTTGAGCAAGTATACTATAAAATTTTGTTGAGAAACCATTATTTGTCCATCATAAAGTTGGTTCAAGTGGTGCATGTTCAATTAGAATTCATTGAAGATTAATTAACCGATGAAAACAACTTCTTTGATCATTAATAAATGATTTACTTTCTTTGACTTCTACTTCAAAATCACTAGAAACATGCTCAGAATTATCAAAATGAAATAATTTGTCATAAACTAAATATTTTTTTTTTCGGATATTGCTGTTTATTGCTACGTTCGGAAGCGCTTGCATAGGGATGAAATCAAATTTTAGCATTACAGCATACAAGTATCTAAAGCACATGCGTGGCAAATACATCTAATTGAAGATACGTTAACCATGCAAGATTTTCATAACGTAAGAAGTAAATAATGAAGAAAGAAAGTGAAAAAAAAGAAGTAATAAAGTAGAACGAAAGATGAAAAAGAGACAAGAATAATAGATAAGAAAAGAGAAAAAGAAAAAAAAATGAAGTGAAGCAGAGAGACGAACAGAGAAAGGCATATCAATTGCCAACGTGGGAATTTAGTTTACGAAATCGATCCATTTTAGTAATAGAGTCTCATGTCTATCTTTCAAATTTTTAACTCTTCTCATCCGAAAAAAAAATAACCAAGGTTATTGCCTTTACGCTTTTTGAAATCATCCCAGTGAAATATATCATTAAAAAAGAGAGATGTCCTAAATCAAATTTATGCACTTACTTTTTTTTTTTTTTCTATATATTTTTTAACGTACAAATCGAGGGGATCTTCGTTTATTGCCGCGAATAAATTATGCTCTGATACAAAATGGCACTGATGTAACAGTCTCATCTCCACTTAAAATTTGCGTCTCAGAGTTTTTTGATGAGGTTTTGGTAGTATTGGAAATAGAAAAAAAAAGCCAAGCGAGAACTTCTGAACGTTATCTACATACCTGTCGATGGTCTGTTTTAAGAACAACTTACTAGTCCAAGTAAATCCTAGATATTTAAATGATTTCACGATTTAAAACATGTGCAGGGTGTGCTTCAAAACAAGTGATTAAGTCACTATGAAAGACGATAAAAAGATAGAGACTTCAGCAACTATCTTGTGGGAGACCCGAAAAAATATGGAATATATTGGAGCTCTTTTCTCCAAAAAATACATACATTCCTCTGTGCTCTAGCCACGAGGCAACAATTTTAAGTAAATCGAGAGGAATACCCAAACGATACAGCTTAACTAAGAGTGTCGCATGCCAAACTTTGTCATATGCTTTCTGATAATCCATACATAGGACAAGCATTGATATGTTAGCTGCCATATTGTGCTTACTTCCTGATAGATAGAAAGAACTTTTGTAGGTAGAAGATAGCCGGAACTTAAACTGAATATATTGATATAAGCAAAAAGCTCATTTGATTAATAAATCGAACAAATCATAACTATTTCAAAGAAAAAAAACTTAAAATAAAAATAAAAAAATAAATAATATATGAATTCTATTTGACTCAAGATCAGCAATGTCAATAATGAAACATTTTTATTTTTGTTTTGTACTAATAATTCGTTTTCTTTTATCTTCGAAACAAAAGTTCTTTAAAGACTTTGTTAGTGATTTCATATTGTCTATAAATTTAACATTCATTAAATTGTTTCTAGCAACTATGATCATCTCCACTCGCTGATATTCGATAGAAAACAACAAAAACATTGCTTGGACTTTTATGCGATATACGAATTTAAATAAAATAACAAAACGATGATTTTCGATTGTATTTTTGACAAAATGCAATGTATTTTTTTCTTCACTTGTTTGATTATGGTTACTTTTAAATAAAATCCGATTCTCAACAATTGATTTTGTGTGACTTTTTAATCAAGATAATCATAAAAATTCTTTTAGTTTCAATTTCTTTGGGAAAATTTTCTTGATCTTCAATAGACAATGTGCAACATATAAAATCGCAGTAAATCAATGTTTAATTTTGTGGATTTAACAATTGAAATCTTTTCTTTACAACAAAGTGAAGCAAACAGATTGATTTTATTTCTGATGTTGATTGATCTTCTGCAAGTTCGATCATGATTTTGTTTTAATCATCTAACAAATTGTTCAATATCAGAAACTATTAGTTGAACTATTGATTCAAGTGATACAAGATGTTTCACTTCCTAATTTTTATAATAGCGAAATAATTCGTGTAGATTTCAATATAAAAATCGGAGAAATTAAGAATATGTTAGTATTCATCACTTCATTTTTTTAGCAATTTGAAAAATTAATCTGATAAAAGAAAACCGCCAAAGAGAAACAAAAAGTCACAAAAAAAGAAAAATTTCTATTGATATGTGATTGTATTATGCTAACCATTTTGTCGTTTGTTTTTGCATCTTTTAAAATAATACTATTTTTTAATCATAATGAAAACTATCTTAATAAAAGTAATTAAATTATTCATTAATAAAATTAGCATTAGATAAAATTAAAAAGTAAGGTATGTGTGAATATTTGATAAAATAATTGAATTTATTTGTCTTTTAAATCAAATATCTATTATTAAATCCTATATATCACATTAGTATTGGTTATGATTATGGATGGTTTCAATGGGACTAATTAATCGTTTGAATATGTTATATTCATTATATTGCATCACAACATCGTATTTCGACTAGGTTGTTTAGCAGTTACTAAATAGTCACTGTTAATAGTACTCGACTTGACGAGTGTGGCTGTGTGATAGCTACCTCGATACCTTCTATTTCGATTTTGCTAGAATCTTATCAAGTGACATAAAATATTAGTAAGATTGATTCGATATGAAAAATCATACGAATAAAATACATAATATCATTTCTACTTCTAGAATGGAGCAAAAATATCGTATGTAACAAAACGTATCATTTTATTGTTGTTTGCTCATGCATATTACCATAAGCTTCGTATTGTTGGTTTTGTCTTTATTACAATAAACGTCATATCCTATCTATATGTTTGTTGTAAAAAAACGCACATGTCATAATATGAATATGTCGAAATAAAATGACAGATAATTTACATCGATGCATTTCATATATATTTTTCGTAACTCATTGCTTACTTTTTTTTTTATATCTTTTGTTGAAGGTATTTTCACTTGTATTCATGGCGTCTGTATCTATTCAACGAATACGTGAATTGCGAGATTCATCTATTCCCAAGGATAGTTTACTTCGAGATTCACTTCCTGATGCATCTGTTCTGGATGTGAGCGATGTTCCACATAAATGCGGCTTTTTATCCGATGATGAAATTACTATTACTGAAAAGTATACAGCTTCTCAACTTGTGAATCTATTGGCTAAAGGAGAATTAACAGCTGAACAAGTTATTAAAGCTTATCTTAAACGAGCTGGTATTGCTCATCAACTAACTAATTGTGCCACAGAATTTCTTGGCGAAGAAGCCGTGGATCGAGCAAAATATTTGGATGACGAATTTAAGAAACGAGGAGGGCCCATAGGACCGATTCATGGTTTACCAATCTCTGTCAAGGAGATGGTAACGATGCGAGGACGACGGATCAGTTCAGGATGGATGAAATGGATTGACAGAATTGCTGAAGATGATGCTCTCATTTTGAAGATTCTCTATGACGCAGGTGCCGTCTTCTACGTTCGTACTACTCAACCACAAAGTCTTATGCATTTGGAATGTAGCAGTCATGTATACGGTACTACTACAAATCCATTTAATCGACAATTAAGTTCTGGAGGAAGTTCAGGTGGAGAAGGTGCACTTCTTGCTCTTAAAGGTAGTCCCATAGGAATAGGCACCGATATTGGTGGAAGTATACGTTTTCCAGCTGCTACTAATGGAGTTTATGGATTGAGACCAACTACTTTTCGATTACCGGTGCGAGGTCTGATGGTAGCACAGGTGGGAAGTCAAAGTATTTTTGGTACGATTGGTCCACTTGCTCGAGCGAGAGAAGATATTAATTTATTCATGAAAGCAATACTCGACACCGAACCATGGCGAGTAGATCCATCTCTTGTGCCCATTCCTTGGAGAACAATTACGTTAGATTCGACAAATTTAACCGTTGCTGTCATGTGGGATGATGGAGTAGTACATCCTCATCCACCCATTATTCGAGCTCTTCGTGAAACTGTTGAGCAATTGAAAACAGCTGGAATTCGAGTTATTGATTGGGAACCAGTCGATCATCAGGAAAGTTGGGATTTAATTAGTGCACTCTATTATTGTAATGGAGCTGAAGAAGAGCGAAATTTGATGACAGAAGTAGATGAGCAACCGCTACCATTGACCAACTGGATCATTAATCAGCCGCAAGTCAAAAAACGAAACTGGATAGAAATGAATGAATTGATTTCCGAGAGAGAAAAGTATCGTAGTCATTATGCAGAGATATGGAACGAGCGAGAAGCATCCTTCAATTGTTCTATCGATTGTCTTCTTACACCAGCAGGTTCATCTGCAGCTCCGCAACATGGCACAGCCAAATGGTGGGGTTATACTTCTGTTTGGAATCTTCTTGACTATCCAGCTGCTACTTTTCCTGTCACAACTGTCGATCTTGTGAAAGATCAACCTGACATCGAATATAAACCTAGAAATACACTTGACGAGGAGAATTATAAACTTTACAATTCACCACAATCATATGCAAATGCTCCTATTGGATTACAAATTGTGTGTCGACGATATAATGATGAAAAAGTAATGAAATGTATGGAAATAATGGAAAGAGCAATGGGGAAAGAATAATTGAACAAAAGATCTGAGCTTATTTTTTATTCGTAGATTTTAGTTTATCATCGTTTATCTATTTTTATTATTTTTATTCACATAGAGACGGTAGAGAAATTAAAGTATTTTATAATAAAAATTACCAAACAGATTCTACACAGTCACAATGAGAATGCAAGAGATTAAGAATAAGTTTTGATTGAATTCGTCAGATATGAAATCTTGAAGGCGATGGTGAGTAAAGTTACCAAAACACAAGTTGTATTTCAAATTTCCAAGTTTCTAGAAAACTTTTCTTGCACTATGAGTCCAGGATGAGTGAAAAGATTAGCCAATTCTATAGGGAATGCAACATTCTTCCGGCTGCATTTCGGCATCATCTAAATTTAAGATGCCACAAAGGTTTGTAGAAAGCGGCAATGATAGAAAAATGTTCACTTGTAAATATTCTTGAATAACTTCCTAGAACCCAATGAATATTAGCTAGATAGATGTCCTCCGCATCGTTCTATCTAATGGCGAAAACCTGACTTCGATAGCTAGGAACCATTGAAATGGATTCAAAAATGGTTGTTGGTGTTTTAAAGAAAATCCGACAATAGTTAGCCTTCTACGACTAATATTTACATATTTTTTATTTTAATTTTATGGTATACTGTCAAAGGGATTAAAATACGTTTCTTTCTTGCATTGATTAGTCGATGCACTTCCATCAGCGACATCTAAATGAAACCTTGAAGCAATGAATAAATCTAAAATATTTTTACGTAATAGAATGGAGAACTGAAAAAGAAATATAATTATTATATGCTCATTAGAAGTATCAACATAGTTTTGTCATACTGCCAATAATTACTTTGATGAAAATTATAGGAAACAGCACAAGTCAAGTATTTTCGGGCCTAAAACACATGTTTACAGAAAATTGTCTCTAACAAGAAGTGTCTCATTCGATTGCAAATTAGATTTACAATTTGTTGATAGCTAAATTATAGCATGGGATCCACTACTTCGAAATCATGAATCAGGTGCACAATCTGCTAATGAAACTGTAAGTCATTTAGGGTCTGACAGCATACCATTATGCTTCTTTCTTTTTTGATGAGTTGGAGTAGACGCAAGCATTCTTTTCAATAGCTTTTGATGGGTTAAGGCAATCTATTGTGTCTTCACAATCTTTCTTCAGCGAGATGATTCTAAATTGTGACAAATATACGGCATATAGAATACTTCGAGCTGCAATCTAGCATAATTTGAGGTTGGTTTAGCATGAAAATTTATGAAAATATCGAGTATAAAACATATATACCAATAGATGCCTCGAAGCTCGTTTTTTCCAATACTGAAACCCCTCGTTCGATAGCCTTGGTAAATTAAAAGTTATTCAAATAATGTACGCGTCCGTTTAACTCTGAAATTGAGAATAGTATCTTTTCTTATCTGCTTTGTCAAATCTATCGTTTTCTATTCATTTATGCATCAAATTGTGCTAGTTTTATTTGTCATCATTTCAGCAGTGTTTAAAATTCCGAAAAAGGAAATTTTCGACGGCACACGTCAACAAATGAGAATAACATATCCGAAATGGTTGTTGTAAAGTTCGATTGTTTTCTTGAATTGACCAAATAATAACTTTTCCTAATGCATGATTTAAATACTAAATCAAACATTTTATAACAATTCAATCAAAAATCAAAAATCTTACTTTTGATAATAAACATTCATCAAGATTCGATAATAAATGTTCAACTATTTCATATGCATGTGTCACTAATAATGAACTCGTTTCAATATCTTTTTGTTCATATTCAAATAAAATCGGTAAACATTTACAAAATTGTTCAAGATAAATTTCTGTTTGAACTTCACCCTCAAGTCTTAATGGTCTATTATTCATATGAAATTCCATATCGGCTTTACTTGCTATAATAACATGAATAAGTAAATCTTTTAAACGAGATATAACAAAACCAATATGTTCAAGAAAAAAATTTATTGATTCATCACGGTTTTTGACAGATTATATTTATAATTTGAAAAAAATCATGTTCAACTTGAATAGAATGTCTATTAATAAATCAATTGAAATTTAAGATAATCTTAAGAAAACAAAATTTACTTTGGTTTTGTATGAATAAAATTCATTATTATTAAAAGAATATCTGAGATTGAAAAATGAACATATACTGTTACATCACCAATTAATAATCCTAATGAACGACCTTCGAAAAATAATGAAAAAAATGAAAAAGTTGTCTAAACAAAACCCTTGGTTTTCAATTAAAGAAAGAATTTTTCATTAAATAACCAATTTCACATGTATATCAGCAGTACAAATTAATTCACATAATGTTCCAATTAAAATCGAAATTGTTTGACCATCAAGTAATGTTGATAATGTACTAGCAAGATGTTTAAGTACCGAACTTTAAAAAAAAAGAAATAATTTTATTGATGTAAATTTTTATTTTACATTAAATTTATTTGAAACATTACTAATATCATCGGAACAATTGAATTCAATAACACATCATTCAATTGTTACATTATTCGAAAATGATGAACAAATTTGTTCAGGTACAAGAAGATGATGAAAACGTTTTGGTTGATGAATTTCTTCTTCGATAAAATCAACATCATATTTTATTGTATCTATTGTATGTTTTTTTATTGTTATTCGAAAGAATGAATAAATAATGAAAAAAAAACCATTTTATGTATCGATTAGTTCATTAGTAAATATTCGAAAAAGAGCTGAACAACGAAGGGATAATTCACCATAGAGATTAGCAAGTACAGCAATTGTATTTTCTTGTATTGAACTGAATTTTTTCGATGATAATGTCCAAACAAGTAATGAAACTATATAACAGTTAATTATTTATGCATCACATTTCGTGATTAATAGCTTGTGTTTGCTCGCGTTTCTTGGTTTTCAGGATCCAAAAACATCTCTAACTTTGTCGCTTAAAGTCAACTATGACAATATCAACTAATAATCATCCCTAAAAAACTAGAAATATCGAGGCGGTCTAGATAAAGTGGCAGTGCCAGTATTTCTATCATAATTTAGTGTCATTTCATGATATAGAGTTGATCTCGTTTGCAAAAAGAACCGCCGTCAAATTCTCTTCGAACAAAAATCATTAACTTATGGGACACAAATATTGTCTGTCTTAACTGTTAAAGAATAGAAAAGGAGTATATGTAACTATACAATACTGAATTTTACTTCCTTTGACTTTCGATGATTAATATCATTCAGAAAAATAAATGATATGCTTCGTTCGGGAATCGA